CCCGCCAGCGCGCGCCCCGGCTCCACGGGCGCCGCCAGCCGCGGCGCCAGCGGCAGCCACGGCGCCGCCGGCGCCGGCGCCTCGGCGGCGTGCAGCGGCGACGGCGGCGGCGGAGGTGGGGACGGCGCCGCGTCGGACGGCGGCGGCGAGGGGTTTGTGACGCCTGGGCGGAAGCGCGGCAGGCGGCTGATTGAATCTCTGGATGAGGACCTGGCGGCCCTGTCTGCGCGCCGCGCGCGGCGCCCCGCCGACGAGGGCGACTCCCGCCCAGCCGCCGGCGTCGCGGGGGGCGAGGGGCAGCGCGAGTCGGCGGACGTGCTGTCGGGTTGGAAGCTGCAGCGCGGCACGTTTGGGCGCGTCAAGGGTAAGCATGCGGCGGAGCGTTTGTGCCCCCGCACGCCGTGGCGCTGCCGACTCGCGTCAGTTGGTGCGTGTTTGTGATGTGCACATATCCGCAAGCCCTTTGTCCTTGTGGCACTCAACCCGCCCGCCGCCCCGCCGCAGGCCTTCCGCCGCCGTATGCGCGCCGGCCCGGCCTGTGCGCCGCGTCATTCGACCTGCAGGCGGCGGTCGAGGCGGTGTATGGGGCAGGCGCGGACGCGGCCAGCGTGCGGCTGTGGCGGCGGAAGCTGGTTCGCCACTGGGACAGCGAGCGGCCGCCGTACTATGGCAGCTGGAGCCGGTGGGTTGACAACGGCGCACGCATGCACGCACACACACGCTGCCTTCCAACCAACTACCCCCCAACACACACACACACACAAACACACATGCACACACGCGCGCACGCGCAAGCGTGCAGGCGCATGCAAGCAGACATGCGTGGAAGCCCTGCTGTCCTGCTCCGAATGCCTGTCCCTTCGCCGCAAGTGCCACGCACACAACTGCCTTCGCATTAAACCGCGCTAGCCCTGCCTCCCACACTCCTGCCAACGCCCGCCCGCCCGCGGCCCGGACGCCGCAGGTCGTCCGGCGCCGTGACCGGCCGGCGGCCCTTGGGGCGCGACCCTGAGTTGGACTATGCAGTAATGAGTGATGAGGAGTGGGAGGAGGAGCCCGACGGGGAGAGCCTCTCGGTGCGCGGCGGGGGTGCTGCACGCCGGCCCGCGGGCGAAGGGAGGAAGAGAGGAGGAACCGCAAGCCGGCGCGCGGGCGGGCGGCTGCGGGCGGGCGGCTGCGGGCGCGTGGCCGCGAGCAGGGCGGAGGCTGGGTGCAGGGCTGGCCGTCGGCGGCAGCCGGGCGCCGCCCTGGCTTGCAATGGCTGCGAGCAGCCATGAGGGGGTGGTGGGTGCCGTCTGTACTGTGTGAATGCACACACGATGCGTTCTTCAATGCACTGACCGCATAGCATGGCCCCTGGGATGTGCGCCGCAGGAGGACGCGGACGACGCGTCAGAGGCGGCGGAGGAGGACAGCGAGGGCGAGGGCGAGGAGGGCGGCGCGTTTGTGGTGAACGACGGGTACCTGTCAGAGGACGAGGGCTGCGGCGAGGGCGGCGCGGGTGAGGGCGGGTGCGGGCGCTCAAGCGCGGGTTCGAGGAGGGAGGTTTCTGGGTTTTGGGTTTGGGTGGGACTGCGAGCTCTGGGGCTTGGGGGTTCCCGTCGGCCCCCGGGGAGGCGCATTCTTGTGGTCCGGGGGGTGGTGCTCAAGCCCTGGACTCATCACGTGCCGACAATGATGGATGAATGAGAATAGGCATGGCCGATGGTCGACCGATGCATCCGCCTCACCTGCGCTGTGCCCGTCGTACCGCAGGCCCGACGCAGCCCGACCGCACAGCAGGGCCCGCGGCCGCCGGCGCCCCCGCGTCGCCGCGCGCGGCCGCGCTGCTGGGCGCGATGGAGCGCGCGCGACGCGCGAACAAGCCGCTGCTGCTGTGCAGCCTGGCGTCGGTGCAGTGCCAGCCGACCGCAGGTGTGGGGGCAAGCGGAGGGGCGCTGCTGATGCAGTTGTCTTGAATGAGGAAACACTGCGTACACATGGCGTGCTGTGCGTGCACATCGTGCTGTGCGCGCGCCGCTGCTCGCCGCAGCTGCGGCCTCGGGACCGGTTGTGCTGGTCCCTCCGTGCGTGAAGCCCGCCAGCGCCTGCAGCAACGACGCCCGTTGCGCCCCCACCCCCCTGTCCTCCCGTCGGACCCGCCTTAGGCATTGATCCTGGGGTTATGGGTTGCCTGCGCGGCAGCGTCCTGAGGACCGACATCTTGCCGCTGCAGCCGCCAGGGGACCCCTGGGACCTCGAGCAAAAGCAGATTTCAGATTGTATCGCCGCCGCGGCGACGGCGGCCGCAGCGGCAGCGACGGCGGCGGCAGCGGCGGCGGCGGGCAAAGGCGGGGCCCCGGGCCCGGCTGGCACCGCGGCCGCAGGCGGCGGCGGAGCCGGCGCGGGCGGCGGCGGGGCCAGCGGCGCGGTTCGCGGGCCGAGGCCGGCAGTCTTCCCTGAGGAGCTTCTGCCCGCGCTCGTGGCGCATGTGCACATGAGCGGCGGCAGCATACCCGTCGTGTCGGCGTCGTTCATGGCGGCGCACGCGGACCGCGGGCTCAAGAAGGCCTCCGTCGAGCGCGCGGTGCGCCAGATCACGCTACCGCGGCAGCACTGCGCGCCGTTCATGGTCAAGCCAGAGCACCTGCCCGGCGGCGGCGCCGGCAATAGCGGCGGCAACAGTGGCAGCGGCGGCGGCGGCGCTGGCGGGGACAGTGCGCCCGCGACGCCGGCCGCGCAGCGGAGGAAGGACGCGGATGGCGGCGGCGGCGGTGGTGCAGCTGACGCCGAGGCCGCCGTTTCCAACCTGCCAGACGCAGCAGCGGCCGGCCCTGGCCCTGCTGCTGCTGCTGCTGCTGCTGCTGCTGCTGCTGCTGCTGCTGCTCCTACTGCTGCTGCTACTGCTGCTGCTCCTGCTGCCGACGCTGCTGCCGATGCTGCAGCCGATGCTGCCCGCACTGCAGCGGCTGTGCCCGCGGCGTCAACCCCCGCCGGGCCAAAGGCGAAGCGCCAGAAGACGGCGGGCAGCATTGAGCGCTTCTTCACCAGGACGCCAGGCGGCGGGGGCGCGTCTGTAGCAAAGAGCGGCAAGGCGGCCGGCGCAGCCCCTGCAGGGCCTGCGCATGTCGCCAGCGGGTTCGGCGAACCTGAGGCGCCCAGCATCCAGCAGCAGCAGCCGCAGCAGCAGCAGGAGGAGGCCGCAGCTTCGGGAGGCAGCGGCGGCGGCGGTGGCGCGGCGCAAGGCAGCCCCGCTGGCAGCGGGCCGGATTTTGAGCAGGCGCCAGCGGCGGGGGCAGCGGCACCCGCTGGCGCCGGAATGGGGGAGCCCGGCATTGGGCCCCTCGAGCCGTTGCAGAGGCAGCAGCAGCAGCAGCAGCAGCCCCGCCTTGACGAATCTGACCACCCCAGCACGCCGACAGGCGCGCGGCGGCTGCCGGCCCTCGGCGGCGGCGGCGGCGGCACTGGGGCGAAGGGCAGCGCGGTGCTCCCGCTGCTGACACCGCCGTCTCATGACTTTGAATGCGGCGGCGATGGCGGAGACCCGCAGGGGCGGCACGCCAAGGCGAGCAGCCCGATCCCCTTCCGCATCGCCGCGGCCGACGCGGACGTGCCCGCGGCCCGGCGGCCGCGCGAGCGG